GCTGAGATTACAAACTGCAGTTCCTGTCTATGCTGCTGAAGAGGATGCTTGGCACAGGTTGGTGGGGGAGTGCCCCGGAGCAGACTCCTTTCCCTTCTCCTAAAAAAGGGTTACCTGGAAATCTGTTCAGGACATATGTGGCTAATTCTAAGTAATATGGACTCTGCTGTGCATGTCCCCACCCTTGGTTTTACACTTGGAAATGCCCCCAAAGAAGAGGGAACGGCTTCATTCCCTAGCTTTAAAGGGGAACTTCCTCTCCCTTACTCCTAACTTCTCTGTGTGAAGATGTAATTTTCCAGTGAGACAACTGGGATTTTTCACCTAAAAACTCTGTAATAACTATATAATTTGCTATAAAAATTTGAGAAACTTTTGATGGAAAATTATATGTCAAACACTCGCTTCTAAACACACGCACACAAATAGTTTTTTTTATGAGAACCAATTAATAAATGCTAATTCATTCAGGCATATCCCCACCAAATTACTGTTTCATTTAATTGCAGAGGAATTTTCCATTACTAACTCTCACTTGCTGATTTTTTTGCATTATTTATATATTTTTTTCAGTTTCATTAATAGTGAGGTTGGTATGTGATATTATCTGCTGTTTGTATGTCTTAAATTTCATTTCATTAAAAATGTTTTCCTCATTCTTGGAGCTCTACATAATCTGGGAGAAAAATCATTACAAGCAGAAAAGATTTTATACAGCAGTGACTGAAAGAAAGCATGGGTGAAAGCGACCTGACAGAAGACATGTCCCCTGATTGGGTCATTCTCCTCTCAGGCAGGAGTGTGCAAAAGCGTGTCTCCACTTGGGGTTAATGTGTAATGTTTTCCTATGTCAGTGAGTCACAAATCTATCCATGAAAAGACTGTGGGTACACAACTGGGAATAAAGAACGTTGGGGCTCTGATAATAAAAAATAAACAGCATTCTAAAGCTCAGAGCACAATGTGTATTTTCATGCCTTCTTATTCATGGACCCCTAATCAAGGCTTTGATACTTAGACACCCCAAAGCTGAAACAGCTGCTCTGTGAAGATTCTGCCTCCTTTTCTGTAGAGAAAAGTGCATTTCCAAAAGTGGTTAAGGGTTGCTTAGGAGCGGTGGCAGGGGAGAAATCCAAAAGAACGTATTTTGCAGGAAGATTTCTCTTTCCCCCCATATTAAACAGTATAGTGCCCTGTACCTGGCTACCTTCATTTCTGAAATCAGTTCTTTCATTCTTATTCTGTCCAGCCACATTCTTTCTCTCTCTTTCCCTGCCCATTACCTTCTTTTCATGTCTTTATTTTCTTTTTCTGTTTTCTTCTCTCCCTTCTTTTTCTTTCAGAGTAAAATATTCTGGAGGATGTGAATGATTAAGCTGTTTACTCCGAGGTTTAGAGATTTAGGTATGAAAAGGCATGTCACCGTAAGTAAAGTTTCACCTTTATACCCAACTCTATCAATTATTACAGGACACGATGACTATTAGTCATCAGAGCTTTTTTACAATTAGCTCATACAAAACCGCATTTATTTCAAGCACTCGAAATTCTGTTGATTTTACTGTGCCCCCAAATTATTTACTAAGCAGAGTATAGTACTCCAAAATTAAGTCTCTGTGTAAAGGGAGTATAACAATGGAAAAATACATAGCCAAAATATGTGTAGCCCGTTCAAATGAGATATTTGAGTCATAAATAAAAAGCTTTGATATATTACTATATTAGTTAATGCTTCTCTTTGAACCAAAATATCACTTAATAATTAAAATTCCACAGTATTGATTCATGTGTGTTTTCTTTAACTTCCTTTTTTGTCCTCTCCAATAAAATTAGAGTTCTTTGGGGGGTACACTGATAAAATTAATTAACTTTTCTTCCAATCCCCAAAAGTTCCAAATAAATGCTTCCAGTAGACATCAAAAAAGTGTCAATTAGAAATAATTACTTCTTATCAATCAGTGGGGCAATTAAAGTGACAAAGCTTGAAAAGATACTTATCTTAAAACTAATTCACAAGGTAGCTAAATTATCTCCTAATTAACTTGGGTGGGAGGATGGACCATACTGAAACAAAGATGAATTGAGGTACCCCAATACCTCTTTATGCACCTCAAGATTGTTTCCCATGCCCAGAAGACGTTATGTTATTGTTAAGTCAGAAGAGAAATCGAGGAAGAAAATAATCGATTCCAAACGCATCATTCCTTTTGCTTCTTTCTAAAGCAAGCGTGTTTCTAAAAGCAAGGGCCCCTGCTACATCGCAGATCTGGGAAGTTAGAAGCAGGCATGCTCCTCCTTGATTTTCCCTCTCATCTTACCATTGAATGACCTATTTTCAGGAGTAGCAAGTTATTGCACACAACTTTTAATAACCAGCTCGGTTTTTTTCCAAACTCTCTTCCTCAATACAGTAATACTTACATTTTAACATGAATGTGGAATTCTCTCTCTCTCTCTCTCTCTCTCTCTCTCTCTCTCTCTCTCTCTCTCTCTTTCTCTCTCTCTCTTTCTCTTTCTCTCTCTCTGTCTCTCGTTGTTGAATATTTGTTTTTTAAAAATCTTTTTGTTTTCAAAGAATTTTGTTCCCCCATGCTACAAAATTCCTAGTGGATTTTTCTGAACCCAGAGCGTATCAGAAAAAATTGAGATTCTCTTTCACAGTCCTGTAGAATAGAGCCTTAGAGGGGCAAATATTAAGCTTTCTCTACAAACAAGTTTAGCCAAGATAGAGCCGAACCTGAATCACAGCGGCCTGGACAGAAGCGGCTTACAAAAACTTTTCTCCAGTGCCCGTCGCGGGTTATTATTTAAAACGGTACGCTCGGTCTGGATCGCGAGAAAATCCCCAGTTGGCTTGTACCTGGGGGGCTCTCTAAGGGGGGAAGGGACTCAAAAAACCTCAAGCGGGAGCTCTGCAGGCAAAACCTTTCCCTCCAGAAATGGAAGTGCCTGCAGAAGACGGGGATCTGGCTCAAACCAGAGGGCAAACGGGCTAACAGAAAGAGAAGCGGTCTGCTAGGTCACGAATTTCGCGCGAAACAGGCAACAACCTCAGCTAAAGAGAATCTCTCTCACTCAAATTTGCCAAAGGCAAATTTTCGAAAGAATTCCGGGGCAGCATGGAAACTTTGAACCTGGGTTGGAGAGGTAATTTCCTTCTGTTTCATTAGCATTGTCCCTCGCTCTCTCCCTCGAAGCCTGATTTCCTTATTTGTAGGGCGGACAGCAGAGACCGAAGGAGCCCCTTCTGACTTCCCCGGTGGGACAAGAGGCTGCACCCCCTGGCCTTCCGCTACCTTCCCAAGGCCAAGGGTGATCTGCGTCTCAACAGATGGGTAGCTCGCGTCTCAACACTCGGCCTTCTGCTGTTTAAAAATAAAGTGAAAATCAATTGTGCTCTTTTCTTTCTCCCTTTTCTTCTTTTACTCTCCCTGCTCCTAAGGAAGGAGTGCTTCTTAGAATGAAAATAAGTCGCGAAAACAAAACACAACCACCCGAGGACCCGCGGCCAGTAGCGACAGGGGCGCGCAGGGTCTGGTCCTGCACGGTAAAAGCAAGGTCCGAGCGCACCCCACTCCGGGAAAGGTCCGGGCAAACGGTCAGGGCCAGGGAAAGATCGACCTCGAAGGAAGATGCGGGAGTGCAAGCGGCAGGACCAGCCGGACCTGGCGGGGGCGACCCTAGGCTGGCGCGGGAGCGCTCGGATGTCGCGGTGGGAACGAAGTTAAACATCGAACCCCGATTGAGCTCCAGAGTAAGGGGCTGAGAATCGGTTTTGCCCCGGGAACGTGATCAAAATAGAGCCGGGGCGCCCTGGACGAGGACGCGAAGGTGGTTTCTCTGGCCCCCAGGGAAGGGCCGGAGGCGGTCACTATGGTCCCTGCGCAGCGGCCGCGCACCCGCAAAGGTCTGCAGGCACTGCAAGGAGCCGAGGCTCCGGCCCCAGAGTCCGCGGAAATAGGACCCTTCCTCCGCCCGGGACGGAGGGTTGCCGCACGCCCTGGAGGGAACCTCGGTACCAGGGCCAGTGCCGCGAAGCTCCCGGCGCTGTCGGCTCAATAGAGATCTCAGCCTCAAGCCGCGCCCGAGCCGACCCTCCTTATTATAACAAATGTCCCGTTTGCCGAACGGGACTTCATATTCGTCGAGAATCCATCTGAAATATTGATTTCCTCTCACTTCGCCGGCCCGATCGATAGCGCTGCGCCCTGGCCCCATAAATCGCCTTCCCCGCGGCCGGCCCGGCTCCATCCATCACCGCAGGCCGGGCGGCGCTTCTGCCCGTGCCCGCACGCTGCGCGCCAGCCGCCCTGACCCTGGGGGTCCTTCCTGGCAGAGACCCTTCCCCCACTTTTCCCGGCCTGACCCCGAGGCGAGGGGAAGCAGGTGCCGTGGCCAGACATCCCCATCCTTCCTGGAGGCCCTGGGCCGGGCCGCCGGTGGGAATGGGGATCGGGCCCCGCGGGTTGTGCGGTGCTCGAAGGCCCGCACCGAGCGGCGACTCCACCTGTTTGTGCTGGGCTGGGGGTTCCTGAGCGCCGAATGCGCCCTTAGCTTCCAGGCCCCGATCAAACGCTCGTTCCCGTTGGCTGGAGAAGGGGCTTGCGGAGTTCCAGGTCCTGCCAGAACGCCATGGGCCAGGGCTGCGCGCGCCCTGGGACGTGGGTTAGGGGTCGGGGGGCGCACAAGCTGCGCACCCTCCTGAGCCACGCCACACGGAGACTGAGCTAGGGCGCGAGGGCACCACTCCGATCCCCCACTGGGGCTGCTCACCGCTCCTGCAGTCCTCAGAGATCAAGGCCTTGGGAGGGCGGAGGGCTCCTGGCCAGGGGTCCTCAGAGCGGGAGCGCGGCCCCGGGCGCCCCCAGATACGTCCCCACGCTAGGGAGGGGCGCTCCGTGAGTCCGCAGGCAAGACTCCCTGGCCCCGGTGAGCCCAGAGCACGCATCGACGCACAGCGAAGCGGGGGCTCGGGGGTCCCGGCCACGCCGCGTCCTTACCCGATCGGATGGAGTTGTGAGGCATCGCCAGGGATTCGCTCACAGCCCGCACAGGGCTCGGGGCTTCGTTGCGCTGGTCCCCGCCGCACCCGTCGCTACGCTGCTGCCCTGCACAGATCCGGGGAAGGGGCATGAGATTGGAGGGCGGCTGCCTTACACCCCTTCTGTATGGCCCATCCTGAGGGCGCGCATCGCGTGGCAAGAGTTGGAAGATTTTTTTTTTTTTAGGTGAAATGGTACCGACCTCAGCCTGGCCTTAGGAAAACATGCCTATCTGGGAGACCCTGGATTGGGGGTGCGCTAAGGAGCCCCCCACCCCAGCTCCAGCTCAGAGGAGCCCAGGGTCCAGCCATACCCAGTTTAACTTGGGAGAGGAAAGGCCGCCAGGTTTGCTGGGACCCTCTCCCTTCTGGAATCACTCGCTCCCCCGGTTCGCTCTCTGGCCATCCTCTGCGCCGCATACCTGACTGGCAGGCCGCAGCGCTCACTGTTTGTGTCCGCTCCGGAGGATGCCCTGGGCCGGGTGTCTCTGCTGCTTCTGAAGTTTGTTCCCATCCACCCGGCATCGCCGACCGGTTTTATCCCGCCAGGGCCCTGAGAGATGGGTCTGGAGAGGCTGGCAGGCCTCGGATTGGCTGGCTGGGTGCAGGGTGGTGCGGGAAGGGGAGGATTTTGCAAGGGGGACATGGCTGAGTGGACTCAGGAGTTAGAAACATTTGCTGGAGCTTCTGTTTCCAGCGGAAAAGAGAAGGAGGCAGCTGAGCCCCAACTCGAAGGCCTGAAAATATTCGAGGAACGGGAGAGGGAGGTCTTGGGGCCTGAGGATGAAGGGGGGTGTCTAAGTCCTCCAGGCCACCAGCAGTGAGAGACATCATTGCGTCCACCTCTTGCCCCCCTACTCTGCATTATGAGAGGCAACTTAAAAAAATTTTTTTTTTAATGTGACAGAACTTTTAAGTTTATACCTTTAAAAAAGTCCTACCTTGGTGTGAATGTCTTTCAGGGCAGAGCCCTAAGCATACCTCAAACCCCATTCCTCCACAGCACCCCCATGTCATTAGGTTAGTGACGGACCACATGTTCTTTTCCAGGAGAACTCTTGCCCTGCAGTTTCCAGCCTACTTTCTTGCTCTTGAAGATGATGAATTCAGAATAATTCAGGAGACAGGTAGGAAGGGCCTAGATTTTCCCTCTATATGGAAGGATCTTAGAAAGGGGCAGGGCTTGAGACCAGAGAGACTAAGATTAAGAAGGGTATTTTTATTTTTTTTTTCTAGGTCACACCCATAGCTGCTCAGAGGTTACTCCTGACTGTGCTTGGGGGACCGTATCAGATGTCCGAGATTGAACCCTGGTTAGCTGTGTGCAAGGTAAATAACCTACCCATGGTACTTCAAGAAGTTTGTCTTGCATGTAGTCAACCCCAGTACCACATAAGATCCTTAGAGCACCTCCAGGATCCCTGAACACAAAGCCAGGAGTAAGCCCTAAGCACAGCTGGTGTGGCCCCACGAATCGAAAAAGCAAAAGGTTAGTTGTAGGGAAAAGTAGCCCACAGGGGAGAAAGAAAGAAAGAAAGAAAGAAAGAAAGAAAGAAAGAAAGAAAAAGAAAAAAGGAAAGGAAAGGAAAGAAAAGGAAAGGGGAAAAAAGAGGTGGTTAGGACTGAGTTGACAGAGTTGACCTCTGGCTTTCTCTAGTCTTTGAAGATAGAAAAGCTCTTAGAGAGGGAATAGCAATAGTACCGTGAATAAAGCACTTACCTTGTATACAGTCAACCTGGGTTCAATTGCTGGCACCCCATATGGTTCCCTGAGCACTTCCAACAGTGATCCCTGTACACAGAATCAGGAGTAAGCCCTGAGCAATTCTGGGTATGGCCCCCAAAACAGCAACAAAAATCTCTTAGAGGTGACCAGCGCAAATCTTCCTCACTCACCAGGCTTGTCTTCTGTAGGGGAAGGGGAACACCCAGGGAAGATGTCCTAGAGCATTCAGTGAAAATGTCCTAAAGTTGGGGCTGGAGCAATAGCACAGCGAGTAAGGCGTTTGCCTTGCACGCAGCCAACATGGCCGACACAGGTTCGATTCCCAGCATCCCATATGGTCCCCCGAGCACCGCCAGGAGCAATTCCTGAGTGCATTAGCCAGGAGTAACCCCTGAGCATCGCTGGGTGTGACCCAAAAAGCAAAAAAAAAAAAAAAAAAGAAAATGTCCTAAAGTAGCAGCAAGTGGGTGAAACAAGGACTGTATGCTCCCCATCTCCCTCAGGCTAGAAGTCTAGCTGTGATCTGAGGATTGTGGCAGGAGATGGTTATGCTCCCTGCCTCTGAGAGCCTGGGCCCCCAGGAGGAACTGTTCTGGAATACCGAGATTGAAGGTGCTGAAGAGAGATACTTTGAGAATACTGAGAATAAGAGAGTAAGAGAGGACTGAGAATAAGGGAATAATGAGGCTGAAGAGAGAGGAAGGCAAAGGGCTAAAGAAAACTGGCTCACCCTCCTCTTTTCAGGGACCTGTGTGTGTGTGTGTGTGTGTGTGTGTGTCTGCACTTGTGTGTGCACACACACATGCAGCCACATGCATAATTTTTTAAATTAAAATGTTTTTTATCTTTCAAGTCAGTCCACTTCTTTCTCCCACCAGACTTTGTCCTTTCTCCAGTGAAACATTCTGTGAAAAGAGAACCTCTACCTTAATGAATTGGATACATATTTTAAGGTCTTTTAATGAAAATAAGAGGTTCTTATTGTTTGAAATGTTCCTTTTTATTTTTATTATTAAAAATTGTTATCAAAATTGCTTCCTGGGTTCCCAGGTAGTAGACCTCTCAGATGTTGGGAGGGTATTGAGGTGAAAGAAAACCTGGGCCAGATCTCATAGACCCCCCCACACAATCCTCTTAGCAGTGCTCTGGCCCCTGATCTACTGCTGGTGGTCTCTGTGGAATCAGACGCCCCTTCTACCCTGTTCTGCCCCAAGTGAGCCACACAAGGTGTCATCCAAAAGTGGTTCAGAAGACCACACAGGTTTCCAAACTAAGGACTGACAGGTATCAATGACTATTCCAGTTCAGGCAGCCATTCTTATTTCTCCTACTTGGTCTCTCTTTGTTCTCTTTTAGTAAAAGTCCCCCCAAAACAGAAGTAATTAGTCTCTATAAGGGAATGCAACCACCAGTGTGAGCATGTGTTAAAAATTTATTTTAATATGAAAACTTAGAGGGCAAAACACCTACATACAGACACCTTGAGAAACCCCCTTACCCAAATTGTGAGTGGCAGAGCTGGTGACCATAAACAGGTACCAAGGAGCAGTAAGAAAACAGAAGTCCCCACTGCACAGAAAATCCACAGTTCTCAGGTCTGACCCTGAGATTCCTAGTTACTGCCTACACCTCTCTTACCAAGGCAAAGAAATTAGGTTTAGCCAGAAACTCCTTGTTCAGTCTTCTTCACATTTAATTTCCCATAAAAAAGGCAGAAGTTATAACACGTACACATCTATATGCATCATGCCTTTAGCAGCTTCACCTCTGACTTTTAGGAACATATTTCCTAGAGCTGACATCTCTTCCAGCCCCTCAGATCAGATATGATGCCCATCAGGCTTTCATTCTGAGATCAACAGCTGACAACCAATGCTTTAAACCCAGTTATATGTTTTTCATCCATTTTCTTCCAAATTTAACACTTCGAGAGTTTCATATACATTCTGGGTAGCTGTCAAGTCCAGGGAATATTGTGTGATTTCTTTTTCTTCTTCTTTGATTTGTTGTTGTTGTTGAATAGTTGTTGTTTGTTTGCTTCTAAGTTGATCTGCTGAGCCTTCAAAAGATGGCCTTTCTTTCCAAGAATCGGCTGAAACTTGTTGAGCTGGTGGGACAGTTTACCAGGGACTATGCTGAGGACACTCCCTAGATGGGGGTGATTTCAGTGCTAAAAGTGAACTGGCTCAGGCAAACCATGTTGAGTGGATTATCTCTGATGCCTCATAGTCCAAGGGAGGGTATTTGGGGTCTTCTGTAAATTTACAGCCCATAGTTTAAGCTGACTCTCGGGGGGCTGGGGGGTGTTCCATCCTGCAGGTGAAATCCTCCCATCTGCTATCTTATGCTGTTTGGCTCTTCCTACTGCAGCCTGGTACTCTTCTCTTTGCCCTCAGTTACCCACAAAGGGAATCTAGGACCACTTTCTCCTCTTTCTCAGAAAGCCCTAGAGGCTTCTCTGTACATTGGCCAGTCTTGGGTAGACATATCCCCACAAACGTCATTGTTCACCTGCCAGGCTTCCTTCCCCCACAAGATAAACAATTCCTGAGGCTAAAGTGCACTTTTTGAGAGGAAAAACAGAAGCTCTCTGCCTAAACTCAGTAGAAGAATCTTCCCGCCCTGTCTGTGTAAGAAGCCATCAATTCCTGCCTGGGACTCTCAGTTTCCTCTTCTATGGGATGTGGCCCGCAGGTGGGGAGTGGGGAGGGTAAGGTCCACCGCCTAGCTTTGTTGTGAAGATGAATAGAATTATGAATGTGAAAGCCTTTGAAAACTACAGCTCCATACAAAAGTTAATTATTAGTAGACAACAAAGGCAGGAACCATAGTTGCAAGAAGGGCAGTTAAAAAACTCTGCTTAAATTTTGCTGTAGAAGCTGATTTCTTGAATCCTTTCCCCAAAGCGGGATGGGTTTTTCCACCAGTGCTCTGGGCCTTGAACAGGTGAACTGTTGGACAGGAAAGGCTCAGGGATTGGACAGGAAAGGCTCTGGGATTGGGTAGGAAGGGGCAAGAGAACTTTCTGCTCTGGGGACATGGGTGTCTGTAAGGGAAGCAATTAATGCTTTGTGACCAAAAAAGGAGGGGAGTGGAACCAAGGACAGGAGAGGGAGACCTGGTGGCAGGCAGAGCCTAAAGTCCAGCTTCCTACTGGGCTCACAGAGAGTAAACAGGAGTTTGGGCCCAGTCCTTTCTGCTCCACCTTCTCCCTAACACTTCACAGGGACTTGTTCCCAGTCCTCATACCTCAGGAAATTGGCCCCTGGCCTGCCCCGAGGCCTCCAGTGGCATTGCCAGAGAATCAATCATTAATTACCCCTCCCTCCTGCTCCCTGTCCCTCCTCCCCTCTGCTTTCAAAACACAAAAATAGAAATACCGAGCCTGGCAGGTGAGAGAGAAAGGGTTGCTGGAGGTGGAAAAGCCTCTTGGAAAAAGCCACTGGTGGCATTTGTCCAGTTGGTTTGTGGTTGAATAGGTGTCTTGGTCATTTATCTTTTGAGACTTTTGCCCACCCTGTGGCCTCCATGTGGCTGGTGTTGGTTGTGTAGTGGAGACTTGCGGTTTCCAGATGAAGTAAGGGAGACTCTCACTGGGGAAGCAGAGAGGAAGGTCACAGGTAGGAAGAGAACAACATCCCAAGGGAATGATTCCATTTTATTTATGTTTTTCCCTAGTTTCAACTCTCTTTAAACAGTTTCAAGCCAATTCCCTTCACAACCCATTTCACAGATGTAAAAAGAGAAGGAAAAGTCATAGATCCAAATTTACTCTGCC